TTATGTTGTTTAAACGAGCAGTCCCCAACCTTTTTAGCACCAGGGACTTGTTTCATGGAATATAATGTCTGACTGGGGGAGGAGGGAGCGGTTTCAGGATGATTCAAGGGCATTACATTTATTATATATTTTGTTTCCATTATTATTACATTGCAATATATAATGAAACCATTATACAACTCTCTGTAAGGGGCGCACAACCTAGATCCCACACATGCACAGTTCGAAACAGGATTCAGACTCCTTTGAGAACCTAAGGACACTGATGATCTGACAGGAAACAGAGTTAAGGCAGTAATGAAAGAGATGGGGAGTGGCTATAAATACAGATTAAGTTTCACTTGCCTGCCCTTCACTCACCACATGCTGTGCATCCAGTTTGTGGCCCAGGGATTGGGGATCCCTGGTTTAAACCACTAAATCTGCGGAATAATTTGCTGAAGCAGCAATAGAAAACCAATGCAGAAGGCCAAGCGAAAAGGAATAAAATATGAAATGGGTTCCATTTTCACAACTATTAGTTGAAGCAAGGCATAGTATACATGGCAAGGGTCACTAGCAAAAAAAACACAATTTTTCTGGTCCAGAAAACCAGAACATTGGAACTAGGAAAAGTCACAACTTCCTATAAAAAAGGAAATCCAAAGGAAAGAGCAAGAGAGAAGGAACCATAATTTCTGTCTATCCAACTATCTGATTCGTTCTTACACACAAGTCACAGACTCAAACATCCAAGATGAAAAAATATTCTGAACTGATACATAAGATGCCATCAGAAAAAAAAAAAAATTATTCACTGGAAAAAAATGCTATCAATAGCAAAATTTTCATAATGTCCAGTACCTGACACAAAATTGCACAACATATGAAGAACCAACATGTGAAGAAAAATAGAACACTTTACAAGGATACACACACACACAAGCACACACATATATACAGCAACTGAGACCAAACCCAAAGTGATAAAGAAGATAGAAATAGTAGTTAAGGATTTTACAGTAGTTATTATAATTTCTGTGATAAACTTAACAAAAGATGCTTATGAAAAATGAAAAGATAGGAAATCTTGGGAACCAGCAGTTACCGTAATGGCTATGTTGCTGGACCCCCACATAGTCGACCGCAGTTCGCGTCCCGGACCCGGTGGCTTAAAACTCACGCCGGGCGCGTGTGTGTGCATGCCCAAGATCCCGAGAGGAGAATGGAGGAGAAGGGATTGCAGCGTGACCATCCCCCCCTGGGGGGTGATTTCTCACTTTCTGTCTCTAATGTCTCAATGTCTCTCTCTGTCTGTCTGGGGAGCACACGCGCCCTATAGCGAAAATCTCTCAAAAAAAAAAAAAAAGAAAAAAGAAAAGATAGGAAATCTCAACAGAAAAACAAACAAATAAAAAAAAGTAGAAACTCTAAACCTAAAAATTACATATGAAATAAAATCCAACGGGCTGAATTAAGATGATAATGGAAAAACAAAATTAATTTAAGACTAGCCTAGCACAACAATTAAGGAAACTGAATACTATCGTACATAAGTAATCATGGTTTAAGTCCAAGACCTAGTGGCTTGAAAAAAAATTCTAGTCACATGTGAACACACATGCCCAGGACCCTGTTAGGATGGAAAATTAGAAAAAGGACTATAGCACGACAAGGCCCAGTTTGAAGTTTCTCTCTCATGCAATATGGGGGGAGAACAGGGGTGAAGGAGGGGAGGAGGAGAGAAAGGAAAGAAGGGATAAAGGGAGGAAAAAAGGATGATAAAGAAAAGGAAGAAAAAGAAGAAGAAAGAAAGGAAAAAGGAAAGAAATTATAAAAAGATGTTCAGTATTATTAGTTGCTATGGTTTGGCCTCCAAAGATTCACATTATAGAAGCGGCTTCTAGAAATTTAATGGGTAGGGCCAAATTGTAGGGCATCATCAAATTAGCTGGGGGTATAGGAGGGACAGAGGAAGTGGAGAATTCTGTTTCCTCTTTCTTTGCATATCCTTGCCTTTCTCTCTGCTTCTGTCAACCATGTTGTAATGGAGCACCACAGGCTGGTCTGATGCTGGTCCTATACAGATGGACTTTCTAAATGCAATAATCACAAGCAAAATAAAACTTAATTTTTTTTAATCACCCAGTCACAGATATTTCTGTTTAGCAACACAATAATGCACTAGGCATTAGTCATTAAGAAAATGCAAATAAAGACCACAATAAGATACATCTACTAGGTGGCTACACTCTTAAAAATTGACAACTACACATTTTGGTAAGTATACAGAGAAACAAGAACCCTCGCACACTGCTAATAAGAATGTAAAATGGTAGAACCGAACTGTTTCTCAAAATGTTAAACACAGATTTCCTCTACAATCTAAGAATTCCACATCAGAATATTTACCGAGAAAACTGAAAACATATATTCACAAAAACTTATACACAAATATACATGGTAGTGTTACTCACAATAGCCAAAGGTGGAAACAACCTAAATGTGCATACACTGATAAATAGATAAATAAAATATGGTATATCCATACAATAAAATATTATTAGAAAATTAGAAAGACTAAAAGTAGGGCCAGCCTATGGCATGGTGGTTAAGGCAGTTGGATCTCACACGGCTGACTCTGAAGTTCGAGTCCTGGACCTGGCAGCTTGAGAAACATGCCAGGCACATGTACATGAGTCCCCAAAAGCCCAGAAAAAGAGAAAGAAATGGAAAAGGGACTGTGGTACGATCATTCCCCATGGGGGATGTTTTCTCAGCTCCCTATCCGACCCTCCTCCCCCATCTCTATCCAGCAAGTGTATGCAGCCTTGGCAAATTCTAAAAATAGAAAAGAAATAAAGTATTCATGCTACAACATGGATGAACCTCGAAAATATATACCAAGAGAAAGAAGCTAATCACAAAAGACCAAATAGTGTATGATTGTATTTACATGAAATACACAGAAAAGACAAATATATAGGGAAGGAAAAGAGGTTAGTAGTCATCAGGAAACTGGGGTAGGCAAAAGTTTTCATTGTGCGGAAGTGGACAGGTTCAAAAATAAGACTGTGATGATGGTTGTACAGTTCTGAAAATTTTCTAAAAATCAATGATTTTCAGTTAAATCAGTTAAATTTTGTTAAGCAAACTTTATTCCAAAAAGCCTTAAAAATAGAAAAAGATAACCATAAACCAGAGAAGATATTTTTAATACAGTTTTAAAAATTACCAAAATATATTTCTAAGATGTCTATATAGCCTGCCTAGAGATTCTGGATAGACTGACTATTGAAAGGCTTTCCCAGACAAATCTCATCTTGTGACGACTGGAATAAGACCCTATTTCTAAAACTTCTACAAGTTTGGGACCAGCAGTTAGCAATAATGGCTATGTCGCTGGGCTCCCATGTAGTCGACCACAGTTCGAGTCCCGGACCCAGTGGCTTAAACTCATGCAGGATGTGTGTGGCGTGCATGCCCAAGATCCCGAGAGGAGAATGGAAGAGAACGAACTGTGGCGAGGCCATCCGCCCTGGGGGGTGATTTCTCGCTTTCTGTCTGTCTCTCTTTCTGGCGAGTGCACACACCCTATAGCAAAAACCTCTCCCAAAAAAAAGAGAAAAGAATAAAACAAAAAAAGGAAGAGTAGCAAGAGCTGGAACTTGGCACTCCTGAGATGGGAGGGGAAAAGCATGGCTGTGAGATCATTTCTTGGAGGGGAAAAAAAAGGAACCTCTATAAGTCAAAAAGATTAACTAGGCAGAGCTAGCAACTGGTGTGATAGTTACGGTACTTGATCTCACAAGGCTGACCGCACAGCTTGGGACTTGGACCCAGCACTTTTAGAAATCCTTCAGGTACATGTGCATACATGTTCAAAATCCCAGGAGAATGGAGGAAAAGGAACTTCAATGTGGCCATCTACCCCCTAGGAGGTGCTTTTATTTTTCTCTCTCTCCCCCCCTCTCTCTCTGGTGCAAACTAAAACAGAAAAGAAAAGAAAAAGATCAACTAGACAACCAGAAAAATTCACAAAATATCTGAAATGGCAATTCATATGAAGAAACTCCACCAGTTAATAAATTTACCATTAAAAGTAAACATGAGGGGCCAGCAGATGATGTGGTGGTTAAGGGCACTGGCTAACCGTGGTCTGATATCCAGCACTGGGTGACTTGCTTTCTCCCTCTCTCTGATCAAATTAGAAACAAATAATAATGTTGATAATAAATAAAATGAAATCAAATAGTTAAAAAAAAAAAGAAGTGGGGACCAACAGATAGCATAATGGTTACATCACGAGTCCCGAACTCGGCGGCTTAAAACTCATGCCGAGCACGTGTGCATGCATGTCTAAGACCCTGAGAGGAAAAGGGATTGTGATGTGGCCCTCCCCATAGGAGGTAATTTCTCACATTCTATCTGTCTCCCTGGCAAGTGCACACACCCTACAGCAAAAATCTCTCTTTCTCAAAATAAAGTAAACATGACATAGAAAAGTAACCTGTCCGATAACTTTTAGGAACTGCTTAAACCAAGACAAGAAGTTGATTAATCACTCTGCATAGTTCTTAATTTAAGTAAGTCTCTTTAAAAATGATTAGACTCATTTTTCCTTAGAGCTTCAATTATAGACAGTCTATTACCAAGAAAAATTTCTTCATAACTTTCCCATTACACTTTGTTTTATCCTCCTCGTTTTACCCATCTTCAGCCTTTTCCTACCAGGTACCAATTTAACACAAGAAAACGAAGAAATCATTTTGTTGTTGTTTGTTACCATTTCTAGATGATAAAACATGTAAAAGTAATCTAATTTTTATAATAAAATACAATGTGGCTCATTGGAGATAGCACAAACACACTAATACTCATTTTCTCTATTCCAATCTTACTGCCCTACACGCAACATTTTTAGGTTAAATTAAAAACAACAATAAAGGCAAGAGTTCGTTTTGAGTATAACCAGCAATAATTTGCCCAAAAAGCACACAGGCATGCAAATGTGCACTCACCTTCCAGTAGTCAGATTGTAAACTGTAGTACCTCTGGTATGCAGATAATGCTGAAAGAGAGAATATGAGTAAAAATTATGTCTCATTACAAAAGCAGTAACACAAGTTTAAAAAAAAAAAAAATTTAAGAAACTTCCTACCATACCAAAAGACCAAAAAACTTAAAAATCTGGAGGTTCCATAACTCAGGAGTTCAAAGACATAAAACCACGGTCAAATTGAGACCTACACTTGAACAGAATCTAGGCTAACTCCTTGGATCAATTTGATGTTCCTAAGACACCAAATCTTATAGAAGATTAAGGTTTGCCAAGGCAACCCCACCTATATTGTGATAGTCTTTGTTCTCAAAAAAGACCTTACATCCAAGAATGACTAAAACGCCAACCAGCTCGAAAAGCAAATAAGTGTGCTCTTTTAAACAGTTAACAAAACTTAACTTCACAATTACCTTACCCCAACTCAATTCCAAACTTGAGCAACCCATACCCATAGATCCATCTGGAGGCATAAAGGATTGAAGAACATAAAGTAGTTCCTATCAAACTAAAAATTCAATGAAATGAGGACAAAAAAGTAAATTCGGGGACTAGCAAATAGCATAATAGTTACGTTGCTGGACTCCCATGTAGTCAACCATGGTTCAAGCCCTGGACCCAGCAACTTAAAACCCACACTGGGCACATCTGTGTGCATGCCCGGGATCCTGAAATGAAAATGGAGAAGGGATTGCAGCATGGCCATTCCTCTGGGGCATAACTTCTCGCTTTCTGACTCTCTGACAAGTACACACACTCTATAGCAAAAATATTTCTCTCTTAAAAAGAAAAAAAAAAGTAAACTGAAAGTTAAATGAGTACATTAGAATTGGCATGGCGCAAGTAAAAATTTTTTTTAAATTGATAAATAAACCCCATCCCATACCAATTAAACCAGAATGTCTTAAGAGTGGGGAACTAATGGGGCCAGCAGGTGGCATGGTGGTTAGGGGCACTGAGTACCCACATGGCCAATAGCGGTTCAAGTCCCAGATCTGGCAACTCCCTTTCTCATTATCCCTTTCTCTCTCTCCCTCTCTCTCTGATCAATTTAAAAATAATAATAATGAAAATTGAATTAAATAAATAAATCATTCTTTTTTTTTAAAAAAAAGAAAGGGGGACTAAGCACCTGTTATATTGACTGCAATTGATCCTGCAAATACAGCGAGGACTGAGCAACATCATAAAGCAAAAGCAGTAAAATGGAAACAAGCATGATGAAGAAAAGTGGCAGCAGCTTGGATACATTTTAATATGTTGGAAAAATTCTTGGAAGGGTTTTGTGATTTTTTTTAAAGAGGTTTTTGCTATAGGGTGTGTGTGCTCGCCAGACAGACAGAGATAGAGAGACAGAAAGCGAGAAATCATCCCCCAGGGGGGTGGCCATGCCGCGATCCCTTCTCCTCCAATCTTCCTCTCGGGATCTAGGGCATGCATGCACACGCGCCGGGTGTGTTCCGGTACGCAAACCGCGGTCGACTATGTGGGAGTACAGGGAAGGGTTTTTACCATAGGGCACGTGCCATCTCTGGAGAGGAGAGAGACAGTGAAAGAGAGTGAGAAATCCCTTCTCCTTCATTCTCCTCCTGGGATTTTGCGCACACATGTACACCCGCTCAGTATGACTCTCAATCCACTGGGTACGGGACTTGAACTGTGGTTGGCCATGTGGGAGTTCAGTGCCTTAACCACTACACTACCTGCTAGACTCCTGACAGGAAGGAGAAATGGAGGGGAAAGCATTGTGGCATAACCAGGCCCATTGGGGGAAGTGCTTTTTCCTTCTCCCTCTATTTCCCTTGTTTCTCCCTGGTTAGTGCATGGGACCTCTGGCAATTTAAAAAAAAAAAAAATTAAAGACAACAGAAATTAAGATAAATAGAAAATAGGAACCCCGAGACCGCTAGACTCCTGACAGGAAGGAGAAATGGAGGGGAAAGCATTGTGGCATAACCAGGCCCATTGGGGGAAGTGCTTTTTCCTTCTCCCTCTATTTCCCTTGTTTCTCCCTGGTTAGTGCATGGGACCTCTGGCAATTTAAAAAAAAAAAAAATTAAAGACAACAGAAATTAAGATAAATAGAAAATAGGAACCCCGAGACCAGCAGTTGGCGTAAGAGCTATGTCGCTGGAGTCCCATGTATTCGACCACAGTTCGAGTCCCAGACCCAGTGGATTAAACTCATGCCCGGTACATGTGCATGCATGCCCAAGATCCCAAGTGGAGAACGGAGAAGGAATTGCGCCA